AGAGGCAGGGAGATCTCTGTGAGTTCGAGGCCAGCCTGGTCTACAAGAGCTAGTTCCAGGACAGGCTCCAAAGCTACAGAGAAACCCTGTCTTGAAAAACAAACAAACAAAAAGCCCAGAATGGTCCCCTAGGCTCATATGTTTGAATACTTGGTTCCCAATTGGTGGAACTATTTGGGAACTGATGAGGACATGTGGGCTTGAGCATGCTGGAGGTGTTACTGGGTTAAGCTTTGAGGTTTCAAAAGTGCCATTCCCAGTGGGATCTTTGCCTCTTGATTGTGGATTAAGATGTAAACTCTCGCTTCTTCCTGCTGCCCTTCTGAAGAGGCAAGCAGGTTTTTGCTCCCTCCCCTCCCCCTTTCACCCTTCTTTCCATAAACTCCACACTCAAGCTGTACCTGCACAGGGTATTTGTCTCCGCCCAAGGCCCTCACCCACCAGGGTCCCAACTTGCGCAGTAATCATAACATGTATGTAGAAGAATGAAAACAGATCCATATCTATCAGCATGCACAAAACTCAGTTCAAATGGATCAAAGACCAACATAAAGTCAGCCACACTGAACCTTATAGAAGAGATAGTGGGAAGTACACTTTAAGACACCGGCACAGGAGACCATTTCCCAGTAGCACAGTCACTGAGAAAAACAATTAATAAACGGACCTCCTGAAACTGAGAAGCTTCTGTAAAGCAAAAAACATGGTCAACAAGACAAAATGACAGCCTACAGAATGGAAAAAGATCTTCAATAACCCCACATCAGACAGAAGTCTGATCTCCAAAATATACAAAGAACTCAAGAAATTGGTCATCAAAAGAACAAATAATCCAACAGAAAAATGGAATACAGACCTAAACAGAGAACTCTCAACAGAGGAATCTAAAATGGCTGAAAGACACTTAAAAATCTTCAACAACCTTAGTCAACAGAGAAATGCAAATCAAAACAACTCTGAGATTCCATCTTACACCTGTAAGAATGGCCAAGATCAAAAAACACTGATGACAACTTATGTTGGAGAGGTTGTGGGGTAAAGAAAACACTCCTGTATTGCTGGTGGGAGTGCAAGCTGGTACAACCCCTTTGGATGTCAGTGTGGCGATTTTTCAGAAAATTAGGAAACAACCTTCCTCAAGACCCAGTAATATCACTTTTGAGTATACACCCAAAGGATGCTCAATTGTGCCACAAGGACATGTGCTCAACTATGTCCATAGAAGCACTGTTTGTCATAACCAGAACCTGGAAACAACTTAAATGCCCATCAACTGGAAAATGGATGAGGAAAACGTGGCACATTTACACAATGGAGTACCACACAGCAGAAAAAAATAACAACATATTGAATTTTTCAGAAAAATGGGCAGAGCTAAAAACATCACATTGAGTGAAGTATCCCAGACCCAGAAAGACAAATATCATATGTACTCACTCATAAGTGGTTTTTAGATATAAAGCAAAGAAAACCAGCTTACAAATCACAATCCCAGAGAACCTAGACAACAATGAGGACCCTAAGAGAGACATACATGGATCTAATCTACATGGGAAGTAGAAAAAGAAAAGATCTCCTGAGTAAATTGGGACCATGGAGACCATGGGAGAGGGCTGAAAAGGGCAGGGAGAGGCAGGGAGGGGAGCAGAAAAAAATGTAGAACTCAATAAAATCAATTTAAAAAAATAAAAGAAAAACAGAAAAAGGGAGAAACCCCAAAATGCCATCATACACCAGCTCCCTACAGGACAGCCAGAAGTAAAACATCTAGCTAGCACCTGTGTATTTGCTTTAAATAACAATTCATCAATGACTGAAATTCAAATGAAGAGGAAAGTTACAGTTTCACTGGGAGAAATCAAAGTACCTTTGAAAGTTGTTATTCTTTTCTGCTAACCTATAAAAGCAAGGGAAATGAACATAGCATTGTTTTAAGTAACTTGTATTGTTAAAATAACCAAATATCTTATTTGTTATCAGATAGACAACTTTGGAAGAAATATTAAAACTATAACCGAGTCAGGTGGTGGTGGTGCACGCCTTTAATCCCAACACTTGAGAGGCAGAGACAGGCAGATCTTTGTGAGTTTGAGGCCAGCCTGGTCTACAAGAGCTAGTTCCAGGACAGCCAGGGCTGTTACACAGAGAAACCATGTCTCTAAAAACAGACAAACAACAACAACAACAGCAAATTATATTTATATATATATATACACTGAAGTAAGTTTTCAGAGTTGAAGTAGATCGTTATAGGGGACTTTATAACAGTTAAAGTGATAAATTCCTCCATAAGAGCAAAGGAAGAATGGAGAATGATGCAATGGTTAAGAGTGAGTGCTGCTATTACAGAACAACTAATTCAGTTCCCAGCATCCACATCAGGCAGATCAGCCTGCTAACTTCAGCCCTAGTGGAACCTAATGCTGGTGGCCTCCATGGGCACTACTGGCAAACATGTGCGCATACCCACACATAGATACATTACATACACATGATGCAAAATAAAAACAGCAATATACAGACAATAATCAAACAAAAGATTAACAGTATTCTAATAAGCCGTGTCTTTGTTTTAAAAGATTTTTAGCTTCATTTATGTGTATGTGTCTACATGAGCATAAGCCATGCATATGTAGGTGTCCCTTGAGGCCAGGAGAGCCCATATGACCTCCTCAAGCGGCAGTTTCAGATAGTTGTAGCCACCAGACATTTATTCTGGGAACCAAACTGGAGTCCCCGGGAAAGGGAGTTAAGTGCTGTTAATGACTTCATCCCCTAATCAGCTGTTTAGGGGGCACATGTTTCTTATAATACTATGGGTCGTTAGTCAAAATTCATTGATTGGCATGTAGGTGTCCATTTTTTAAGCAGAAAACTATCTGCAGTTCTGTAGTTTTTGCCCTGTAAATAATTTGACTGATAAGGTATGTTCTTTGTCCCCCTTCTCCCTTCCTTCCTTTTCATTGTTGTTTTTCTCTCTTCTTTTCTTCTATTTTTGTCCACTTTATTTTCTTTTTTTTTATATTTATTGAGCTCTACATTTTTCTCTGCTCCCCTCCCTCCTTCAGCCCTCCCACAAGGTCCCCATGCTCCTAATTTACTCAGGACATCTTGTCTTTTTCTACTTTCTACTTCCCATGTGGATTAGATCTATGTAAGTCTTTCTTAGTGTCCGCATTTTTGTCTAAATTCTCTGTGATTGTGGTTTGTAGGCTGGCTTTCTTTGCTTTATGTTTAAAAACCACTTATGAGTGAGTACATGTGATAATTGTCTTTCTGGGTCTGGGTTACCTCACTCAAAATAATGTTTTCTAGCTCCATCCATTTTCCTGCAAAATTCAAGATGTCATTATTTTTTTTTCTGCTGTGTAGTACTCCGTTGTGTAAATATACCACATTTTTCTTATCCATTCTTCAATTGAGGGGCATTTAGGTTGTTTCCAGGTTCTGGCTATGAACACAGTTGAGCACACGTCCTTGTGGCACGACTGAGCATTCTTTGGATCTATACCCAAAAGTGGTATTACTAGGTCTTGAGGAAGGTTGTTTCCTAATTTTCTCAGAAATCGCCACACTGACATCCAAAGAGGTTGTACCAGCTTGCATTCCCAACCAGGATTGCATGAGTGTTCCCTTTTCCCCACAACCTCTCCAGCATAAGTTGTCATCAGTGTTTTTGATCTTGGCCATCATTTATTTATTTATTTATTTATTTATTTAATTTATTTATTTATTTATTTATTCAGTATCCTGCTTATAGGCCAGACGAAGGCACCAGACCCCATTACAGATGGTTATTAGCCACTACATGGTTGCTGAAAATTGAACTCAGACCTCTGGAAGAGCAGTCAGTGCTCTTAACCTCTGAGCCATCTCTCCAGCCCCATCTTGGCCATTCTTACAGGTGTAAGATGGAATCTCAGCGTTGTTTTGATTTGCATTTCTCTGAAGACTAAGGATGTTGAGCATCTCCTTAAGTGTCTTTCAGCCATTTTAGATCCTCTATTGAGAGTTCTCTGTTTAGGTCTGTACTCCATTTTTTTTTTTATAGGATTATGTGTTCTTTTGATGTCCAATTTCTTGAGTTCTTTGTATATTTTGGAGATCAGACCTCTGTCTGATGTGGGGTTATTGAAGATCTTTTCCCATTCTGTAGGCTGTCGTTTTGTCTTGTTAACAGTGTCCTTTGCTTTACAGAAGCTTTTCAGTTTCAGGAGGTTCCATTTATTGTTTCTCTCAGTGTGTGTGCTGGCTGGGTTTTGTTTAGGAAGTGGTCTCCTGTGCCAATGCGTTCAAGTGTACTTCCCACTTTCTCTTCTGTAAGGTTCAGTGTGGCTGGCTTTATGTTGAGGTCTTTGATCCTTTTGGACTTGAGTTTTGTGCATGGTGATAGATATGGATCTATTTTCATTCTTCTACATGTTGATATCCAGTTATGTCAGCACCACTTGTTAAATATGCTTTCTTTTTTTCCATTTGATATTTTTAGTTTCTTTGTCAAAATGTTTTTGTTTTTGTTTTTGTTTTTTTGTTTTTTTTTTTTCTCTTTTGGAGACAGGGTTTCTACACAGCCCTGGAGCTTCTCGTGCTCTGGAGACCAGGCTGGCCTCAGGCTCAGAGAGATCTACCTGCCTCTGCTTCCCAAAAGACTCTGAAGCCCTAGCTAGAATAAAACTTGATATGTAGACCTGGCTGGCCTATACCTCAAAAAGATCTGGCCACTCCTGACTCCACGTGTTGGTATTACTGACATGTACTACCACCATGCCTGGCCCCAAACACATCCTTTTATGCAGTAACTTACACATTCTTGCTGTTCTCTGTTCCCTGTATGCAATGTCCTTGTAAGTCACAAAAAGTGGCAAATGAATTTGGGGTTCAAACATGTCTGTTAGATTTCTGTGCCATTTTTACTAACCAGTCACTTCCTACTATTACACTACTGAGAGCTTGGTGTCTCCACTCAATGATCTTTCTGACTGTTCTCATTCATTCCTCACCTTCCTCAGGGGCAGCTGACGCTCCTTCAGGTAGTGTGGGCTGTAACTCCCCAGCTTCAGAATGACTTTCCAAATCTGCCACCTGCATTCCTTCCAGGCGACCTCCTTTTGCATTAGCCCTCAAAGAGTGAAAAAACATGATATTTTCAAATGTCTCATAAGTGACATAATAATCTATATTTTCTTTTCTTCCTTTTTATTTGTATATAATACTAAATTTCCATTTTTACAAAATTTAAGATTCAGAATAAAAGGTTATGAAATTGCAAATTAACAAATCCTGTTTATGACAATGTATGGATAGTTCTGCAAAATGTTATTAGTAGGGGACAAAGACAAGATATGCGGGACCTCTCTACTATTTCTTAAAATGGTTTGTCAATCAGTAATTATCCGTTAGAATAGATATAAACACAAGTTCTCACGACTGTTGAGAGACAGAAGCATTCGTGAGTAAGAAATCAAGGTGCACTAGAGGTAGAGACTTTCACAGCTGCTCAATATACATAGAGCAGAGAAGGCACAACATACACCAAGAGCTGAGAGGGGCAGGACTGAGTGAGGGCAGGGGCAGAAACAAGAATGAGGACATTTTCACTGGAACTACGTTATCATCATCATTATTATTATTTTGTCTTATTACTACAAATGTAGCAAGGAGGAAGAAAAGACACAAGCAGGTGAGCATCCATATGAAGCAGGCTGACACTATTCCTAACTAGCTCACTGTGGTGGTTTGAATGCTTCGTCTCCAGTTAGTGGAACAGTTTGGGGAGGATCAGGAGGAAGTGTGTCCTTGATGAACAAGGTTTAAAAGCTGACACCAGGCCCAGTTTCTGTCTCACTTGCAGCCTGAGGATCTAATTTAAGCTCTCATCTCCTGCTCCAGCACCATACCTGTCTGTGTACCACAATGATGATCTTGGACTAACCTTCTAAAACTGTAAACAAACTCCCAATTAAATGCTTCCATTTAATTTTAACTTTATTTTATTGGTTCTTTGAGACAGGGTTTCTCGGTAGCTTTTGGAGCTTGTCCTGGAACTAGCTCTTGTAGACTAGGTTGGTTTCAAACTCACAGATATCCACCTGCCTCTGCCTCCCAAGTGCTGGGATTAAAGGAGTGCGCCACCGCCACCCAGCATGCTTCTATTTTATAAGATTTGCCTTGTCATGGTGTCTCTTCACCGCAATAAAGCAGTAATTAAGACACTCCTTTAATGCCTTTTTTTCCCTTCCCTTTTTGAGAAAGCAGAGAATTTCATCAGGGTTGCTTTATAGCCAGCATGGGTAAGGGTTTGTTTGTTAAGAGTATAGGTACCTTACCACTGGAAGACTCTCTTCCCTGTCAACTACAAACTATTTTTAAACTTGAAGGGGTGAGGGACGGGCATGTCTCACTTTCATGACAAGGTGTTGATGGGCCCAATCTTGTTAGAAAGTCCAGCTGCTATAAGAGAACTTTGAACTTTTACACAAAATTTTATGCTCCACACATATGTATATGTGTGTGTGTATATATGAATGTAACACATAATTGTTATAACTAAATGATACAGAATCTCTACAATAAATTAAAATATGAATGAAAGCTAAGGCTCAGTGTTTGAAAACACTGGCTACCAGAAGACCCGGTTTGATTCCTAGTATCCATACAGCAGCTTACAGATGTCTGTGGCTCTAGTACCGGGAATACAACACTCTCTTCTGGCCTCCATGGGCACTAGACATACATGCAGACAAAAAGTCCACACATCAAAAAATTTTAAGGTAAAATAAAAAAGAAAATTAGTTTTATCTTTAACTTGAAAGAAATGTATATATCAGGCTAGGTGATAGAGAAGATAAGTTTCCTGGTTGCCCCTCCACTAAAAGCCTCCTCCCCACCCCAATAATGGGAACTGAACCATGGCTACAGCAATGTACATGCTAAGATATGCTATACCAAGGAGCTGAATCTCCAGGCAATTTTGAAGATTTTATTTTGAGTCAAGATCTTGCTAGGTTGCCCACAGAGGCTCCCAACTTTCAATCCTCTGGACTTCTGTCTCCTCAGCAGCTGTGACACAAGAGTTTGTAGCATGCCAGGCTCTCTAGTGACTTTTCTACTGTTGAACCTTGAGTTACAAACAAAATTAAGCCTCCATCTGTCCTTCTGAATTTGGTAATCAGCCAACATAAGATGATGGTCTTTCTATAAAGACCCTTCCAAAGTTTCCTAAGAAAACTATTCCATTATCTAAATTAGAAAGATACTTAATGTTTATGTGACAGCAGAGGAACACTGAGGGCTCAACTAACACATCCACAGTCAATACATTCTTTATACACTCAATACTTGACATGATGGGCTCCGAATAAAGATAAACATGTTGATCACCATTTATCATATCTGAAAATTCTAACTAGCATTTTAGAGGATGATTTCAAAACACAGAAAAAGAGTGAGATAAAAGTAGTGCTTTTAAAACAGTTAATTAAGCCAGGCATGTGGCTCATGCCTGTAATCGCAGCACTCGGGAGGCTAAGGCAAAAGGATCAAGAACTGAAAGCTATCCTGGGTTATATGAGACCCAGTCTCAAATCAAACAAACAAAAATAACAGTAATCATCAATACAATTACTTGAAATACTTTACTGCACACAAATAAGTGACACACTTTTTTTAAAAATGACACATGGCCCCTGGAAGAATGCATGACAGATTAAAATGCAAGGCATCATGTAAAGCTGAAATATACATACATCTCCAAGGCAATGTTTGCTCAGGTTAGCCTGTTGTAAGCAAACAAGAGCCCTAAGCTAGCTGTGGTGGCTCACTTCCGTAAAACAGTACTCATGAAGCTGAGGCAGGAGGACTGCTGTCATTCTGCAAGGGCTGGGGGAAGGGTAGAAAGAAGAGAGTGACAGAATGACATAATTTTTAAAAAGGATGTCATTTTAATGCAATAAACAAACTTCCTGCACACCTCAAACACTAGCAAGATAGAAATAATTTTGTTCATTATAGACTTGAAGTTCTAAACAACGAAAAAGTATTATTTACCCCAAGGCGACCATTTTCCTTCTTTTCTCAACAGTAGGTAAGCCATTGAAAACTGCAACCACCACAGCATCAGAATCCAAAGCTTTGCATTGTCGGTCTTCACTTTTGGGCAGAATATCCCCAATGATGCCATGTGTCAGGGCTCGGGGAGAGTTGTGCCTGCTCCCGGACTGAGAGCTTCCCGGGGAGCCTTTGGGAAAGGAGGAGAAGACAGTGAACATGAAAGCCTCTAGGTGTAGAAAATTACTTTATGTGCATAATTTTTGTAATTTTGAAAATTTTAAATGTGGGGCTGGAGAGATGGCTCAGTAGTTAGGAGCACTGGCTGCTCTTCCAGAGGACCCAGGTTCAGTTCTCAGCACCGACATGGCAGCTCACAACTGTCTGTAATTCCTGTTGCAAAGGATTCAACGCCCTCATACAGGCAAACCAGTGTGCATGAAAAAGAAATTTAAAAATTTTTTTTAATGTAAGTGCAGTTTTGCCTGCATGTATGAATGTGTACCGTGTGTGCCTGTGTTAATGGAGGCCAGAAGAGGGCATCAGATCCCCTGGAAGTAGAGCTACAGATAGTTGTGAGTCACCATGTGGGTGTTGGTAATCAAATCCAGGACCTCTGCATGAACAAAAAAGTGCTCTAAACCATAAGCCATTTATATTTCCAGCCTACTATATGTACATTTTAAACTAGATTAAAACTTCAAAAAATGAAAAAGCTATCCCAATCTTTTTGACTAGTTACTTAAATATTAACAAGTGCAAAATACATAGTTAAACACTGTTCTGATTTGAGATCAAGAAACTTCAAATACTAGAGTCCAGGGGCCAAGTCAGCAATTCCAGAATTAGGGTGGCTAAGAAAGGAAAAATCATGAGTTAAAACATAAAAATAAAACAAAAGAAAAAAGTAAACTCGAAAAGGAAACAAATAAAAGGTCCCACAAAATCAGGAAGTTCAGCTATACTTTTAGCTTCTTTGGTGCCTTTCAAGGATAAAGCTACAATTTCCAAGCATGTGCCCAGCAAAATTATATTACGAATCCCATATTTACCTTCAGACAAAGCCTGGCAGTCTCCCTTTGAACGGCTGCTTTCTCCAGAGTCCATAGCTCTTCGGAGTGATAGACTGCCTGCTATGGCCCGAGCTGACTTGGGTGAATTCTTCTTATTTGTGGCTACAAAAACATTTAGAAGCATTTCTGAATATGATAAAATATCACATAACTCACTATATAGTCAGAGAAATGTCTAATCCTCATCACATGTGGATGGTTTTTTGTCTACAATGTCCAAAACAATAGGGCACTCTGTGGTCCTGACAGTTTACTTAGCATTCTGCGACAAAAATATTTCTATTTTGTTTCTTGTCAAAAAAAAACCTTTTTTTTTTTTTTTTTTGGTTTTTCGAGACATGGTTTCTCTGTGGCTTTGGAGCCTGTCCTGGAACTAGCTCTGTAGACCAGGCTGGTCTCGAACTCACAGAGATCCGCCTGCCTCTGCCTCCCGAGTGCTGGGATTAAAGGCATGCGCCACCATCGCCCGGCTCAAAAAGAATCTTAATAAGATTAACTATGACCTCATTTTGAAAAAGTTGTATCAATTAAGACAATGAAGTGTAAACAAAAATATAACCCTTTAATGCAGTGGTTCTCAACCTTCATAACGCTACAACCCTTTAATACAGTTCCTCATGCTGTGATGACCCCCAACAATAAAATTATTTTGTTGCTACTTTATAACTTTAATTTTGCTACTGTTATGAATTGTATTGTAAATATCTAATATGCAGACTATCTGTTATGCAATCCCTAAAGCAGTAATGCCCACAAGTTGAGAACCGCTGCTCTAATCTAAGCAATTGGAAACTGTGCTTGATTCAATCAAAAAGTAATCAATGCTGAATCTGAAACAGATCATAAGTATAATACTTCAAAATATTTGTGACCAAATCAAAAACTGTGACAAAAGCAGTAATGATAACAAAATGTAGAGCCTAAAATAACCAGGAGAGGGCGAGGTAGGGAGGAGACACAGCATGGGACAGTAACGTCACCACCACCACAGCAAGATCTAATCAGTTGTGCAGGCACACTCAAAAAAATCACCAAAATAATAAATGATGACAAGAAGCAGGTAGACTGTGAATTCAGAGCCAGCCTGGGCTATGTGAGATCCATCTCAAAAAACCAAACCAAAGGGGCTGGAGAGACAGCTCTGTGGCTAAGAGCACTGACTGTTCTTTCAGAGGACCTGGGTTCAATTCCTATCACCCACACAGCAGCTCAGCACTGTCTATAACTCCAGTTTTTGGGGATCTGAAAAGGGCACCTTCTCACCAATGCACATAAAATAAATTTAAATAAATAAACTATATTTATTTAAATATATATAAACTGAAAAGCACAGGAGATTTATTGACAAAGGGTTAGCACATCTGGCTTTGTCCTAAAGAATATGATTTTTAAAAAAAAATCACAAAATTTTAAAATAAACTTTTTTAAAGACTTTTTATTTATTCATTTACTGATTATGTATACAGTGCTCTGCCTGCATTATCACTGCAGAAGGCACCAGATCTCATTACAGATGGTTGTGAGACACCATGTGATTGCTGGGAATTGAACTCAAGACCTCTGGAAGTGCTCTTATCCTCTCCAGCCCCTCAAAATAAACTTTAAAAAACTATTCCTATCAAAAACAACACACACCAAAGACTATACAACTCAGTGAACTCCTATACAGTGGAGCTTCACATTTGATTTTATGCTTTTAGCACTGAATATATTTTATGCACTTATCTACCACTAAAACCAAAAATCTATGACAGAATTAGAACTTTAAAAAAATTAGCTTAACCAACAAAACAAAAACAAACAAAAAATTGGATGGGTATTGGTGGCGCACATCTTTAATCCCAGGACTCAGGAGGCAGACCAGGCAGATCTCTGTGTGGTCTACAAAGTGAGTCACAGGACAGCCAGGGCACAGAGAAACCCTGTCTTGAAAAACAAAACAAAATAACTTTATATCCTTTTTAAAGACCTGTGATGTTTTCATTTGCAAGTTTTTATAACAAAGTTTATAAAATAAAACAGAAACCTATCTCTTTTACAGTATGGAAAAGGACAAAGTACTTGGAAACACTTAAAAGACTCACATATCAAAAACTCACACATTATAAAAAGAAAATAAATGAATGACAGCTTTGTGTTCAGACGGAGACAGTATGGCTAAAGTCACACTTCTAAAATTAATCTACAGACTTAACACAATCTATATAAAAATGCCTTTTAAATTATTATTTATTTAGGGTCTGGAAAGATGGCTAGGCTGATAAGGGACCTTGGGCAACTCCGACAGCCTAAATTCAATCCTTGGAATCCATAGGGTGGGAGGAGAGAATCAACTCCTTTACTTCATCCTCTGACCTCCACACAAGGTTCTTCCATAAGTAATGTAAATAATAAGAATGATGATAATAACACAGGTTCCTAAAATTTCTATGAAACTCTAAGAGGTCTAGAACAACAAAAGCAACCCCGAAAGGAAGACTCCCTCTCAGACCCACTGCCAGTTACAACTCCTGAGCCTTAGGCTTCCAGCCTACCACGAGTGGATCCACAGCTGGGGAGTCAGGACTAAGTGGGCAAGGCAGCGCTCCTCCGACAGCTCTGGGGCTTCGCGTCAATGCAAACCTCTCAAAGAGCTCTAACGCTGCCTCACACACAAGAAACACAGAGCAAGGGAGCTGAAAGGAGTAGGGCTGCACAGTGAGCCCCAAGCCAGCCTGGTTTACAAAGTGAGATCCAGACTCAAACAGAGGTGGGTGGTTGAGGGGTGAACGCAGGAACATGGTGAAGTTAGAACTAGAATGTACAATTTCCACATTCAACATTGCTGTGCCCCTCCCCCACCACCGCCAGAAAAAGATTTCACAAAAAAAAAAAAAAGACAAAACAAGTGGGTGGCACCAGCATATGGACAGATATCTATCAAAACTGAGAATCCAGAAACAATTTATACTTTGATGTTAACAAGGATGCCAAGACAACTCAATGGTAACAGGAAGAGGTGTGGTTCTCCTTCTTCCTCCAGGATTGTAGGTCTGCGAGGAGGGAGCCAAAGTAGGAACAGGGTTGGGATGGCTGGAGCATACAATGGTGACAGCCCTGGGGAGATGACTTCAGGGAGTAAGGAGCCTGGGGACAAGCCCTAGTCTACATTAAGTGGAATGACTCTATCCTAAGGTTTCGTGGCAGTAGGGCCTATGGCAAAGCGCCTAGTACAAGTCTTAGTTACCGTATGTGCAGTGGGGGAAAGCTGCTAGCAGGAAATGGTCACTAGAGATAAATCAACTCTACTTCTAAGTGTGCACTCAAAATAAAAAAAATATTGTCTACATGGTAATTTATAATACATGTTCACAGTACATTATGCTACATCAGTGATTATAGTCAAGATGCGCAAACACGCTATCAACTGTTAGCGGATAAACAGTATGTGGTACAGCTATATAACAAAATACAATATCCTTGACCAGCAAAAAGAACAAATTATCATGAACTCATAACATGTACAAACCTTGAAAGTATATGTGAAATGGAAAAACACACACATAAAAGACCTCATTTGGACTCACATCATGGTATATAACTGAAATCCCTCAACTGGGTAAGCTGAGGCAGAAGGATCAATCAGGAGTTTCATGCCAGCCTGGGCTACACAACAAAAGTCTATCTTGAGTATAAATGAAAAACAGAATTCTATTTCTATGTTAATTGGGAAGACTAGTTTAAAAAAAAAAAACAACAGAAAATGGTAAGTGCTGTGAACATGTGGAGAACTGGAACCTGTGCTCTGCTGAAAGTGTAGCTAAGGAAAATATCACAGAAGCTCCACACCTGGCCCCAAAAGCTAAGGACAGGATAATCCAGCAATGCCAATCAGAGTTTAAAAGGGGGTTCAAAAGAAAAATATCTATGTTTAGAGAAGAAAGTGTCCAAAGGATGAATGAATGGATAGACAACATGTGCTCTCTATATACAATAGAGTAGGAATCTGCCATTAAAGAGGAAGCTCTGAAAGATGATATCATATGGATGAACCTTGAAGATACACTAAAAAAGAAGCCAATCACAGAAAACCCCAAATGTCAAATGCTGCAACAATTCCAATCATACGTGACACCTAACAGAGTCACTCACAGACACAGAGAGCGGAGGAATGGAGGAATGGGGAATGCCTGTAAATGGGTGCAGCTTCAGTGTGGAGTGAGGAGCGTTCTTAGAGGTGGACGGTGGTGAGGCACGCACAGCAATGCCAAAGTGCCCAATGCTCCTCAACTGTGAGACCGAAACGGGACATTTTGTACAACATACACTTTACCCAAAATTTTAACACATGTGATTCCCCAGCTAAAGGTTAAAATGTCAAATTTTACATTATCCACCCTTTACCATAATTTGAAAGACTTTTTTCTAGCATATATGATTTGAGAAATAAACACACATAGGCAGTGCCCAACACCAAACTCTCTCAATCCACCCAGCCCATCAGATGCTCCTCAGTTCACATGTAACTTGTTAAAGAAAGCTTTCCTTTCTCATGTCAGATTTAACCGGTGTGCTCTTCCACCCAAACTTTATGTTGATACTTCTCAAAAGTATAAAGCAGAGGTAGTAATACTGCTTTTTAGAATGTTCGTTTTAAATTTTTTAAGTAATTTATTTTTATTTTATAAACATGGATTGTTTTGCTTGCATGTATGTCTGAATGAAGATGCACAACCACACCTGCAGGTGCCCAAACAGCATCCCTGACACTCACCTTACCCGCTCTGACACAAATTTTTACCACACACCACATACTAGTCTTATTCTCAGGACCTCCTGCTCCCTCTTCCAGCGTGCTAGGATTAGGGTCACACACACACAGCACACTTGGCTTTGAACTGCTGCTCGGTGAAGGACAGCACTAATCACTAAGTTGCTTAGGCCAAAAAAAAATATTCTCAGTTCCCGTCTTTCTCTCAACTACCCAGGCTTTTATAACTATAATTGTGACAGACCTGAATCCTATTGGCCGAAAACAGACTAGATTCTGCATCTAGAACAGGACTAGTTACATACTTAGGATGGGACACTCAGTAAGAAAGGACTGCCAGACTAAGAGCAAG